ACAGGGGACGATTGATTATGGTATTCGTATCGTTCGTTCCACTACTACTTCTCTAGTGGCTTATTCTGATGCTGATTGGGGTGGGTGCCCTGATTCTCGAAGATCAACTAGCGGATATTGTGTTTTCTTTGGTGATAATCTTATTTCTTGGTATTCTAAACGTCAGCCGACCGTATCCAGATCTAGTGCCGAGGCGGAATATCGAGGCGTGGCTAATGCTGTTGCAGAAGCCACTTGGGTTCGAAATTTACTCCTAGAATTACAGCTTCCTCTTCGGCAAGCTTCCGTGGTTTATTGTGACAACGTGTCTGCAGTTTACTATCTGATAATCCAGTTCAACATCAGCGAACCAAGCACATCGAGATTGACATTCATTTTGTTCGGGACAAAGTTCGAGTTGGACACATTCGCGTTCTTCACGTGCCTTCCTCTCTACAGTACGCTGACATTTTTACCAAGGGCCTCCCACGACAGTTGTTCGAGTCATTCCGATCCAGCTTGAGCGTTTGCTCTACTCCCGCTCAAACTACGGGGGAGTCTTAGCCGGTTGATTATATTAGTTAGAGATAATTACGGATTTGATTTATATTTATCATTAATTATCAAGATTTGTATTGATTTGTTTTAGCCGATAGGGTTTCTTTGTACATACCCTATATATAGGGGTTTTCTGTTAATGATGGAAGCATCGAGTTTTGCAAACTTTTATAAATATATAGATTGACATCATTTGGATCACAGTGTTGACTATTATAGGTAACACTCTATGTAAATCAGTATAAACCAGTTGGGTTTCAATCTCACCACAAGTTAAAAAATTTCATCTCCATTTTAAACTTTTAAGGTTAAAACAAACTTTTTCTAAACCATCAATCTTAGAATGAAAAGATCATGCTAGTTATAGTTTGAAATCTTATTTTTGTTTTGGAGTAAAAGAGTACTTGAAATTCATCCATTAAATATTAGGTAACAATGAGTCAACAATGTATGAAAATATAAGGGTAGTTTTGAAATCATATATATATATATATATATATATATATATATATAAAAGTTGGATCGTCTCCTATAGTTGGTAACTTTTTCAAAAGGTGGGAGTATTCTATGTTGATAAAAAGAAATGTACAATATTCTAGTACAAAAATAGAATTCCTACAGATAAAATAATCAAAAGAGTTAATGAGAGATAATGACGAAGAATACATCAAGATTTTATAGGTAAGTAGTTTAACATAAAATACCTAAATAGACAATAAGCAAACTATAAAATAAACGACCAACTAACTTTTTTGTTTTTACATTTTTTTTCAAATATAATTAGCTATACATGTTTGGACCATTAATATAATATAATAGTCTTATTTAAGGATCATTTTTTTCTCTTTTTTATTTATTAGTTTTTTTTAGGACTACAATAATACTATACTCTAAAAAATTTGGGCCCCTATTTCTTGTAGGATACGCCCCCGCCCTCCCTAGAGGCAGCCCTGGCTAAACGCTTACCCGATACATATTTACTAAACAGCTCAGTTTTGTTTTTACAAATACATTTAAGAATAATCAAATATTTTTATTAAATTTTCTATCAAATTAAATCTTATATTTCTTTAATTCTTAAAAAAACATTTATTTGTCTCAAAATATTACATGATGCTGGGTTGGATTTTGGTTCACTTTCTACCGTTTCCGATAACCAAGTAATCCATTACATTATTATTTTTCAATATTTTATATTTATATATTATTTAAAATTCAAATAATATTTATTTTGCTCAACTTATTCCATATATGACTTGCTAGGGATGGTGGATTTGCAGACGTCCGTTTTACGGAAGATTCTAGAACTGGTTATATGATCTCTGATTAAAGAAATATATGGGTTTGGTTCCTAGATGGTTCGAGTGAGTTTTAGATGGCTTCTGCTCGTAATTACATAGACTCTAATAGATTGAACTGGCTTGTCCCTATCAAGATTAATGTATTTTCTTGGCGGTTGCGCTTGAATAATTTCCAACTCGAGACAATCTTCAAAAAAAAAGGAATTGATGTGCATTCTTCTTGTGTCCAATTTGCAATTTAGAGATTGAATCGGTGAGTTATTTATTCTTATCTTGTAAAATAGTCTGGGATATTTAAAAGCAAATTGGTCGATGGTGGGGTTTGGATTCGAATTAGATTAGGTGGTTATGATCTTTGTGGTTGAAGAAAGTGGAATCGGCTTGTTTAAAGACGGTAGTTCTAATGACTTTATGAGCTACTTGGTCTTTTTGGAAAGGGACTTTCTTTTAGACTTCCTAAGCCTAAGAAAAGGGTGTATTGTGACTCATTTGTTCTTCTGGGGTTACAAATAGTGGTATTAAGTTTAACATTAATTGGGTGGGTTGGTTAAAAAACCTCATTCTTCCTATTTCTTATATGTAATTTTGTTTTTCTAGCTTCTTGCTACTTTTTTTATAAAATCTCTTGTCATTTAAAAAAAAGATCTTTTATAAAAACAAAATTTCACATCTAAAAAAGTTATATTTAACAATAAAATTGATCAACATACAACCACAAATTTGTGTTTTTAAAATATTTTTTATTAAAGTATTGTACTTTGAAAATTTTTTAACCATTATAGCAGTGGATAATTTTTTTTTGGAATTAAGATGATATGACATAAGTTATCATATTTTCATATCACGTCATTGTCTACGTGAAATTTCCACATGTAACGTATTGTTGACATGACATTCCTTACAATGTTATTGTACTTTTAAAATTACTTTATTAGGGCAATGCTCTTTGCACCCACTTTAACGTCAAAATCAGGTCAAGCCATGAATTGAATGTAAAATATAGATTTTGAAGTTAGATGCATATAAAGAGAGAAAAGTACCAAGTAAAGTTACATTTAGCAACGTATAGGGATGCAATTAGTCTCCCTTTTATTATAATAGCATTAGCTCTTATTACAAAATCATAGCTATGATTTATTATTATTATTATTATTATTATTATTATTATTATTATTATTATTATTATTATTATTAATTGTGCATTGAGTCGCTTATAAAAAAATCATTTCATAAGTAAAACATTGTAAAATGAAAAAGAGAAAAAAACATGCTAAGTTGAATATAACTCGAATTTGCTATGTTATGTTTCGTTTATAATTTTTTTGGCTTAGACATCATTTAATTATATAAGAGACTTCTAAACTATTTATTAATATAATAACATTAACAGGAGTGTTTGCAATTGTTTATAAAAAACAACTTATTTAGTTATTTCAGTATGACACCAGTAATAAACACGTTTGAGCATTTGGATATACAACTTATACCGATGTCAAACCAGTAATAAGAAGTTTTTAAATAAATTAAATCATTATAACTTATAATAAGTTGATAAATATTTTTGTAAAAAAACATAAGTTGATTCGAATAAGCAATCTCAAACACTCCTTAAGAAGATTTGTGAAGTACAATATATCTCGATAATATTTTAAAAAATGCATCTTCTTTTGGTCTTTTTTTACAAACAAAATATTTATTTAAGAAAAAAACATATTATTTTAATATTTTATTGCATACAATTTAATAAGTGAGAAACTTTTTTATTTTTGAAGAGTGATGAAAACCATACTTTGGATGTGATATGCATCATCTAAGAGAGTGGAAAAACCATTAAAAATTCGAAACCTGAGTTTTTTTATTTGTCACATGATCAATACGAAATCTCATCTACATCATCTCATTTAAATAAAAAAGAAAATAAAGGATTAACCGGTTTAACCCACTACTATAATAAAGTAGACAGGTAGTTATTTCATGCATTTAACTCCATCAAAATAATCTTTATTTCGTTTACCCCATAACCCAAACCTAATTCAATTCAGTTATAGGGGGTTAGTTTGAAGAAAGTTGAAAAATGAGTAACCTAAAATCCAATTACACCTACCGAACAACACCCCTACACCGTTGAAGACTATATACGGACATCAGACTGACAAGCCAAGTTTTTAACTGGTTTGGCTCGACATAGTTGGTTCGAAAAGAAAAATAGACCAAGACCAAGACCAAGACGGTCGGTGACCAACTGACTTCTGGATTAGCTAGGGTTGAATGAGACTTGTCTTTTGCCACACAGGCCAATTACGACCATGCTAATCTAAGGAAAGGCTCGACTGCTAGTATTGACCAGGTCAAACAAATCCCCGGCCTTATGAGCAAGGGCAACTCTATCAAACTGTGGTGGATAAGAAGACGGACATTCTTGCAAAACAAATGGAAAGCCTACCATTCACCTCCAGACACCACCCACCTGCTCTTGGCAATGGAACCATTTTGCTCAAATAACCTTAAATGAGGATTATTAAGGTAATCTTCTGACAAATTTAGTGGCATTCTCAAATCTATTAAAAAGATGATAGATTTAGAAGAAAATTATGGGGTCATTCAACTAACGAACCCCTTGAATACCGGTACTTGTATAGTGGGGGCGTTTCAAAGGATGACATATATACCCTTCTACAAAATGTGCAAGGGCAACTCTATCAAACAATCACATTTGTTGTAAAAATCTAACCCAAAAAGACTTCTACAATACTTTTACCAACTTTAAACTACTGAAACTATTAACAAATGGGAGTAAAAACAGGAGAATTCTTTATAGAAAATCTTGAGCTAAAAATGTAAAACAATTGTCAACCATAAACATAGCTAAGCAACAATAGCAAGATTTCAAGTCCCACACACGAGAAAAAAGATGCAATTACCAGTAAAACGAACGATGAGTATGCCGACGTTCATCACATTCTGCGGGTACTTCGCTTGCATTCACATAGCTTCTCCTGGAAACAATAAAGATATCACTGTTTCACAACTTGGCAAAATAACATCACGAAAACCTTGTGATCACTACAAAAAGTTGGCAAAAACCAAATAATGATGATGCAGAAAATGCAAAGATTAGGATTCTTCACAAACTGCATGCGACACTCGATTCTGTATTTTCTGCTACCTGCATATAGAGATAATATGTGATAAGCCTTTTTGTATATTTGGTGTTTTCCAATAGGAGATATTTAGGCATATAACCTTAAATGATATTTTAATTAAATCCATGATCTCCTAACCTATTAGAAGAAAAATGGCTTCATACTCACCCAAACGTTGTGGATTTAATTGAAATATCATTTTAAGTCATATACCTAAATGACCCCATCCTATGAGGCCCTGAAGTTAATGACTGGGAAAACTTCAGGTGGTACTGAGGGGACTCGAGCTGGTGACAATCGGGAAGCAAATTCAAGGTCTAACCAGTTAAGCTACCCTAAGGGTTGCGTGATCAGCTTTTCCGACCATCTAACTTGGTCTTTCAGTTGCAAACAACAAATCTTTCTTGCAAAGACGCAAAAATAAGGGGGAAAACACGTGATAATTTAAATAATTAGCAATTTTGGGTGAATGGGAGAAATACAAGCACAAAAATAACCAAAATCGTTCATTCTTACCAAACTATTATTTAAATTTTTGGGCAAATTGCATGAAAAAGTAACGTACTTTAACTTGATTCCTATTTTGGGTAACGTACTTTGAAAACTTCCATTTTGGTACCTAAGATGTAAAATTTTGAACATTTAAGTAGCCGGGTGACTGGTTGAAGCATTAAGAAGGTTACCATGCTGATGTGGCGAGTGATATCAGCATAGATATCTTAATACTGAGTTGGATACCCATCACTCGTCACATCAGCATGGTAACCGGTTAATGCTTCAACCAGTTACTCGGGTACTTAAATGTTTAAAACTTTACATCTTAGGTACCAGAATAGAAGTTCTCAAAGTACGTTACCCAAAATAGGAATCAAGTTAAAGTACGTTACTTTTTCATACTATTTGCCCTAAATTTTTTGACATTTTCACAGGATTTGCTTACAGCAAAAAGTCGAATAACGGTTCGAAAAGGTATACAGTCCAGAAAATATCATAATCCATATGTATCATGCAGAAAACATAGGTAAACAAAAAAACTCAAGTTTCTAATACAGTCTCACTTTACTTGGATTATCATTTCGTTTCTTCTCACTTTGTCCATTTCAAGGAAGTTGCAGTGTCCAATTCAAATCATCTCGTTTCTTGTCGCTTTGTCCATTTCATGGAAGTTGCAGTGTTCAATTCAATGCATAGTTAGAAGTTCATCAAATGATAAACACAATGTTTGGTTTGCAACAGCTTAACGAAAATGTTTGATTATTTTTCAAATACCCAAATTGCCATTCGGGTAAGAACAAAATAAAGAAATCTTTTTGAACCAAAAATCAACGTAATGTAATTTTTCTAATCATTCTGTAATGAGCAAAAAAGTTGATGGTTTCTAAGCCTCGCTCAGAAAGGAAATGTCGCATATATTCTGGAACGGAAAGAATAAAACATCTGACAACTGAACATTGTCAGATACCATTCAATAATGACATGTACAAGGCAACCACAAAGACCAAAAGCAATCAGCATCAATGACAGATTGCTATTATGGCAAAAATGTGACTAACAGTTGGGGTATAACTTATAAGTATGGGGCCACTTACATAGAGTTTATAATCACTGGCCAAATGATTTCCTGTTAAATTGAATGAGGGTAAATAAGTCTTAACATTCAAATTCTTTTACTGAAAATGGGTTAAATGGTCTCCAGATAAATAAAGTTGGTAACACAGTGCGCAAAACATTTCGAGTTGAACTAGGTGGCCACAAAATTTTCTTTTCCCAGTAAAACAACCAAGTTTAAGCATGGATCCCGTAGGATGTCAAAGGAGAAACAAAACGAACCGACTTAGCATCACACTCTCAAAACCACAATTGGACCCATAAACCACACCAAACCAACCCGGAGGTGGAGTTGGGGGTGGGATGTACACAGACCTAACCTCTTCCCCAAGAGTAGAGTGGTTGTTTACATGAAGACCAAATCAAATCAATCCGGGGAGGTGGAGTCTGGGGGGTGGGATGTACACAGACCTAACCTCTATCCTGAAGAGTAGAGTGGTTGTTTCCGTGAAGACCCCTATTGGCCCCAATATTGGTGACAAATAATTGCAATACCAATATTCCATGTAGAAAGAAACAAGACTGAAAGTATAATAAACTTTTATAACAGAAATGAGCTATTAAACGCAAGTTATTCAAAGAAAGAAATAGAGAATGCAATAAATGGCAGTTGGTAACTACCTAAGCCAGCCAGCCAGCAGGTTCCAATACTCTTCTCCTTTCTCTTAATCCTCGATTTTCAAGCCATATCTAAATAGAAACATAAACAACAGTAAATTAATTGCACAACTAAAGAAAATAAAAGGCCAATGCCTCTACCATATCATAAGCAATGATTAACAAGATCTTCCACAGAAATCAAGCCGATACTACCAAAGTGCCCAATCTGGCTCTCACATAAATCTAGAAAAACAGCAAGTAAAGTGATCATGGAACTCACATGGGTTATCCAATTAAATACTTTTAGCAGCAAAAAATCATTAATCACATACTTAAATTCTCACAACAATTTACACCCTCTTCATCCAGTTGTGAACTTAAGTAGGGGAAACCAGATACAGGACGCTTGGATTTGTGAGATCCTGCCTCAATTGACTAAGATAATGTTACTAATATAGATATTGATCTAAGTATACCTTTGATAAACTTTTTTTTGAGATACGCAAATGAAAGAAGTTCAGTACTCTATTTATTTTTAATTTAAACTAAAGATAACCATAAAAAAATAGAAAAAAGGCGACAAGTATTGCATACCTTCTTGGGTCAAAAATATAGATGTAGGTGATCCTGGGGATGGTGGAGTTTGCTTTAGTAATGAAGCATGGCGGCCAGCCCTGATAACAGCATCTGGATCTGTAGCCGACAAAATTTCCACATGTTCAAGACCTATCTGTCTTTTTACCAACTCTAAGTTCTCTTGAAGAACCTCGATTTCACCAAATGGCAGCCTTAAATCCAAAGCCTGAACCCCAAGCGTCATCACCTCATCCTTCTTAAACCTCAAGAATGGCATGCATAATTTCTGTGTCTGCTTAAAGTTTCCTTCCTGGCCAATTGCACTCTGCTGCAGAGCTTGTAGTATCTCCTGGTCTGGCGCAAACTTGCGGTTTAGACTGTCATATTTGTCTCGTAGGATGTTCAAACACTCTCTCTTCCATCCATCATATTGTTCATTCACAAATATCAAGCCAATTGTTGGTTTGCTTTGAGTACTCACTTTATTACTGCCACCTTTCTTAGAACCACCAGAAGCCTGCTTCAGGAGAAGCTTCCTGAAAATGCATCAGCAAAATCAGTTTTAAATAAATTCATCCTCAGTTCAACAAATTTAGAGGTTAAGCACCTGCAAGATGTATGCCATCAATAATTGGATCAAATAAAAAACTGCTACCGGCCATTAGCCATTTTGATAAAAAGGATGATGGTTAACCAATTCGATAAACATTTCTTCAAAATTGACCAAGAAATATTGTATCGATATTGCTAGCTTAGCAGATTCCGGAGCTAAAAATGTTACAACAATCTCTAATTAAAAAACAAGGATGGATATATTAGTCAAACTGGCGAAAACTACAGCAACTGGTCTAAAGTGCCCTTTTGGAATCAACTGTATATAGCAATTTTTCTGAAAATCCATGTATGAGGCTGCTTAAACTGCCTCCCAGGCACTAGTCTTTGCCACCACTTCAATTAGTTAGAGATGCTTGATAGGGCATCTAGGAGCTAAGGGGACCCCAAAGCTTAGTTAGCAACTATTTGTTGAGTTGAGCGACAGTTAATTGAATTTCCTTGACTTGCATTCATATTTCATCAATCAACTTTTCTCAACTTGGAAGGCATCTTTAGGATCTGAGGAGATGTATCAATGAAACAACGAAACTAGCACTTAAAGAAACAAATTATACCAAAATAACTTGGTACCAAAAATTTGATTCTCATATATTCATATAATCTAGAGAGAAACTAATCTTAAGATTCCACTTAGTGTCTGAACCCTGCTTAGGCAATTAAGTGTTAGAACTAGAAGGTCACTTGATCACCTAGCTGCATAACGCTTTCTAGAATGCTGCTAGATAATAACAGTAGTACTAGATAAACAGATCTAAATGTAGGCACTACAAACAAAATACATTAAATTTAAGCAAGTTGTTATGAACCTGAAATTGGATATAGACTCCTGCAAGTATCTGTTGGCCATCTGAAGGGTCAGATCAGGGTTTTCAGCTTCAGGCCATCCAGCCTTGATGACAAACCCTTCTTTCTTCAAAAGCTTCTTCCATACATATTCAGAATAATGTGGGCAAATAGGAGCAATAAGACGCGTCTGAATATCCATGAACCGCCACAAAAGATCACGATTCATGCCAACCAAGCCACAAGAAAACCTATATTCATCCCTGGCAGCTTGGAGATCATAGAACCCTGTTTTGAGAGCTTCACGAAACATGTTCTCACTGTAGTTCTTCTCCGTCATTTTTATTGCAAAGTTGATTTCATTAGCAAATACACGATCCGCATAAATAGAAGGCGGACCCACTCTTAAAGATGACTCGGCAGCTAGAACTTCCTCCATCCACACCCTCTCCTTGGTGAGCCGCAAAATTGCAGCATTGGCAGTTTCAAATACAAAATTGGCATCATCCATCCCATCGCCAGCATCAGCAAGAGAGAATCTAGTGGCATCAGCTGAGAATTCCTCGATAGCTTGCTTTAGTGTCCTAAAATTCCCGGTTGACTTTGACATCTTCTCAGAATTTAACATAATGTGTCCATTGCATCTAAACCCACGAGGCCAGTGTCTTTTGGGAAATATTGCAGTGTGGTTATAAATACAAAATGTAAGGTGGTTCTGTATTAGATCTTTACCAGAAACACGAAGATCAACCGGATACCAATATTCAAACTCCTGCCTCATCTTTTTAAGAAGCGGCAAAGGGATATCAGAAGATTTAGGTTCTGCGCCAGAAAGAAACAAATAGTCCCATATTTCATCCGTAAGTTGTTCAGGTTTTACAGATGAAGTGTCTGAACCATACAATTCCCCTTTCTGTAACAGATGGCAGACTGTATAGTAAGCCATGTAGATGGTTGAATCAGATAATGATTCCACTAGAAACTCCTTGTCCCAAGGAATACGAGTCCCTAGACCAAAACTACGAGAGCATGCCCATTGGTTAAGCCAGCTCAATGTGTGCTCAAACCCATGTCGGGTCTCATCAGAGTACAGATTCATGTTGGCCAAGCACTCCTCTGCATCTTCTCTCCAATTAGATTCTCCATAAGTGAGATACCATTGATCAGTCAAGGCAACAACACACTCATCACCTGATCTCGACATGACTTTCTTCTCAGGTTCACTGTATACAACAGCTTGGCCAAGTTCTAAAAGCTTGCTTCTGATTAAGCTTTTAGCTTCCTGAACACGCATCCCAGCATATTCCCCAGCAATCATGGTTCCCTCATAGAAACCACCCTTGTATATTACCTTTTTTGCAGCATCAAGCTTCTCCCTCTCATTTTGGCTCTTGATCTTCATGTCGGTGCATATTTTCTCAGCAGACTTGTCACCAAATTCTGGGTGACTGATGATTGGGATAACCTCAAAGGGTAATACCCACTCATCTTTGACACCAAACTTAGCCCTGAAAGGAGCTTTTGCTTTCAAATCCTGCAATATCATTGTGTTGGTTTTAAATTTGTAAGAAAATTCAAATCAAGAACTAAAGGAAAAATTGACAGGTTCCCTATACATCTCATATACAGGCATAAGAATCCGGATTCCATGTTCATTGAATATTAAACTAGACAATCTGATGCCTAAAGAACCCTTTTACTCTTTTAAGCACTCAAATAAACTATATATGGAGATCAAGAGGATCTAATAACTCCACAAACCCTACAAAGTATCTTACAAAATCCCACCAAAGCACCACTACGAATAATCAAAAGAAGCTGCATCTGTGACAGCCCAGCTGGTAATGGCCCCTACAAACAGTACCATTTGTTTAATGTTCTAAAGGCATTCTTAATACTGCAGTTTTCTCTTTTCTAATAAGATTTCCTCACTCGATATCTCTCCTCCTTTAACCATTTTTTAACCATTTTCTCTTTTTTCTAAAGACAAACACACACTGTTCTCTTTTTGTACCGTTCTAATCCCATTTTTGTGCATCTTTTAGCAAATAAATCCCCATTGTCAGAAAATAGCAAACCACATATTTCTCTCACTTGATTAAAAACTCTAGATAATTTCCCAACGCAGACGAATCAACTGTTTTAGTTTGGTGAAGTAAATTGCACCAAGTATGAGAACAATGTTAGAGTTTTAGTTTTGGAGCCATACTTGTTACTGCTTGCATCAATAACTTGTTCCTTATCGGTTACTTGATTCACATTGGGCACAGCTCTGATGCCAACATGTTACTTTTTCGCTTAGTATTTTACTTAAATTATATGAAACCAATAGCCAAAAACATGTAATGGATCAGATAGCTAACACTCGATGAGCTAAACATAATTTTTATAATTAGGGTGCGTATGGTATCCACAGGGATAGGACTAAACACTTGTTCAGCATTCAGTTTAACAGAACAAATAAAATAACCAATTTACCCCTAATGAGTTGTTTATATATTTTGATTAATTTATGAATTATAATAAAACATATATTTTTATAACAAAATATATCATTAGAAAGTTTTCGTCAAGACAATTAAAGTGACACCAAAATAAAAAATTCATGTAGTTTCCAATTTTTATATTATACCTTTTCTATATTATTTTTTTAATTACTAATATTTAATAAATTACATAAGTAATCAAAATATAGAAACCGTATACAAAATATACTTTGAGGACACTAAATCGAAAATTTAAAGAGCACAAATATAATAACTAAAATTTGAAGAATGAACAAAATGTAAAGAGGGAGGCGGATTTGATGTTTTAGAAGATAATTAGGTTTTATTTTAAGGTTGTATTGGTAAGATATAGGCGTGTTCCACCTTGTTCCATGAGATAGGGTGGAACACACCTATTCCACTCTGATCCACATAAAAGTTCTACCAAACGTGGAGCAGTGATCCATGTTCTGTTCTATCCGGTGTACCAAATGCACCCTTAGAGCACAATTACATGTTCTATCAATTAGCATCTATATTTGTGAAGTGTGATTAACATTACGAAGCAACCGACACCAAAACGCCGTAAAACTAAAATACTATATATAGAGGCTTAGGTTCACATGAGAACCACAAAAAGCTTGAGAACTATGAGAGCCTAATATATTCACTGATGCATATACATATGAAAATATGCATTCCATCAATGAGTATATTCATCAATATATATCTACTGTGTATGCAAGTATACATAATGACGCATGTACTCACTAAATTCTATAGTGTGTATGCATCAATGAATATAGAGGTTCTCATGATTCTCAAAAATTGTGGTTCTCACATGAACCGGCCCGTATATATACACACACATACGTATACCAACAAATATCACCTGCAATGCCATATAATCATCGGGAGAATCACTGGGAACGCTGGTAACTATCCCAGTACCTTTATCAGTGAGAACCGAAAGCATCGGAAGACAGTATATAATTTCATTAAATGAAAGTGGTGATCGGAGGGGTAACCCAATAAGATCCTGACCAGTCAACTCAACGAGACATGAAGGCTTTTCAGGGAGACGGGACAAACGCTGATATGCCAAATTACGCGCTGCACGCTCCGTTACAATAAACACCTCGGATTCATTAATCTCAAAGGCACCATATTTCCCATCTGGCAGTACCCACGAGTTTGTCTGGCCATACATGGTCTCCGGTCTGAGAGTTGCAGCAGCTAGATATACTTTCTTCCCTTCTAAAAATGCAAATTTGGCAGGGAATGGTCGGACAACCTCCATCTTAATGAGTGTATACTCCTGGGGAATAACACCTTCCCCTGATGCCCGATCATGATCAGCACAAGGCTGCCCATCCAAAGGCGAATAAACCGTGTACCTTAAGTCTTTAACAATCTTCCCCAATGCTTTTAGCTTTCTCATCTGCCACCCCACAAACGAATCGAAAAATGGGTTAATGTCCGTTGTGATAAAGGACCTCCTCCAGTCAGCACCCAATCCAAAAGCTTTAAGGTCTTCAACAGCCAAAGGAGGAAAAAACCGAAGCCACTGAACAGGGTCTTGAAACGTGGCAATCTCAGCATCAGATAAGCCATAACCACGCATTATCTCCCACTGGTAAGTCTCCTTACCAGCTTTTGATGTCGCCTTGGATTTTTTGCCCTTAAACTTGTCCGGTTGAGACTGGTTGTTTCCTTCATTAGCTTTCGGTTCTGGTTCACTAATCATTTCCTCTGTCTCCAGTGAAGGAAAAGAAGGTGGATTACCAAATCTTTCTATCTCCCTTCGAAGTTTATCAGCTGAGGCTTTGATTGGCATACCAGTACAATGGAAGCCAAAGGGTAAAAGAACATTAGCACCCCTCAATCTGTGATACGCAGCAGCAAATTCAAGCTTAGAGAGTGAAAATGCATGCCCCAGGTGCAGATACCCATTCATATATGGAAATGGGAAGGTCCCGAAAAACTTTTCTCCTGCTTTGGGAGGTTGGTCATTAGCTTCAGCATTGAAAACTTGACACTCATCCCACCACTTCCGAACTTCCTGTTCCATTTCCAAAAGCTGGTCCCTCCTCTTGAAGCTCCTCCCACTATCCGTGGTATCTGCCATCTCGGTACTAATTTGACAGAAACTGTAGCCCATAAGAAGATAAAAAACTGAATGAGTACACATGGCATGATAAGATTATTTACTTCAAAAAGAGATAATAGTAAGATAATATATTTATAGCAAAAACAGATATTTGTAAAAGAAAGAAAATCTGTTCACTCAATTCAAACCAAAGATAAAATAGAACGAAGAATAACCTATAATGTTGAAACAAACCATATTCAGATCGACAACTAACCAACAGTAATACTACATTAACTTATTATATCGAAAAGCCAAATACAATTAAAGAGTAATTAGGTGCTCAAACAGGGAATCGTGCACCTAGTAATTGAAAGTGATTCATTTGAGAAATCTGAATACTTGAAACAGCTAGAGCTACTCTGTCACATAAAGAGGCACAACAGTGGCAAGAAAGGCCTAGACAGAATGTCATAGATGGATTTAAGATTTAGCATATTTTAAAACGGTTTAGCATATTCTCTCACTTTTAAGAGAAGCCAGTCACAACTACTAAGCAAAACTGGATTTTTTTCCCACAACTTTTTATATCTCAATCTCTCAGCTATGTCCCTTTGCAAAAGAATGTTAGATTACACAAACTGTCCTACTTGGTGTCAAATGGTGCAACGCCCTAAACTTTAGTACTCACATTAACATATATCAACCATGACTGCATATTTTAACAATGAACTCAAATTGCACGAGGGAGGCAATACCATTATGGCTTTTCAAGTGGGTAATTTTTGAAATCATACGGTAAATAACATAGTTATCAAAGCTTGCTCCATGGCACATAGAAATATTCTTGTGGTAGCCCCTTGGCGCCTTAGCACAAAAGATGGCAAATCAAGGGAATATAATGTGCAATCGGCATGACACAAATGACAGCTTTAGTTTTTGGCCAGTTCTAATTCAAAACTTTGCTATATTAAGGCAATTTATTGGGCCTTTTTAGTTTTATTTTGCCTTGAGCCCATAGCGCTTTTATACAACTAACACAAACACCCACAACATGAACAAAAAAGCAAAAGACCAATGCTATTCTCTTCAATCAGCAGAGATTTATGCAGTTCATGTTCTCACCTACTTTGTTTACAGTACCAAAATAACGGAGTTTGATGGAGCAAAATCAAATTTCAGATGAAATGAAATAGTAATCAATGAATCAGTACTCAAATTTTTACTCTAAAATAGATTTATACACCCCCTACCCCTCATAAAATTGCAATGTTTAACTTAAAAAATACAAAATTGTTAAGATATCAGTCAAATTCCCTCTCGTGGTGACAAAATAATGGAACTTCAACGACCAAAATCAATAGCATCAACAGGAACTTACTTCGGCGTTGGTTAAACATAAACTTCTAAATTTTGCCAAAATCAAAAGAAATGTTGTAACTTTCAAGGACATCCTAAACTGGGAAGTATTGCAATCTTCACAAGAATTATAGCCCACTTCCATTTTGTTATTAGTTACATTAAGCTTCAAAACATAAAAATGTAAAAGATGTGGATGACGGATTAGTACCAAAAACCCTACCAAATTTGTATCTGAAACGGAGGTTAGCAACTAACAGAAATTTTGAACCAGCTATATATCTTACAACCCCCGAAAAGATCTACAAGGTATTAATAAACTTATCACATCCCAAAAACACATCCATACAAGATCTAGATACCATAAATTCAATCCATTTTTAACTTATGTTTTCTTGGAATTAAGAGCATTGATATACAAAAGCAACTCAAGTAAAAACAGTGTAAAAATTGGAACTAAAAAGAATAAGTAAAGGATTTACCTCCGGTGTGCAATGGATGATTGAAGGTTGCGGATGAATCGAAGTGGGCGTAGGAAAAGAAGGCGTCTCAACGCCACAGTTGTATTAGCGCTAGGGTTTTCTAGTAGTAGATTATGGGTGCTGCCTTTTCAGTGTAGGAAGATAAACGTAGGAAGAAGCGACGATAAGGGTTTAATGTGAATAGACGGATTATTGAACCCAAAAATGGCATGAAACAGCGAACTCCTTCATAAAAAAAATCTTTTAAAGTACTACATTTTTAGTTTTTTTTTACAATAATATATTTTTAAATTTTTTTTTTTTATCAGACTATTGTATTTAAAAAAATTTATCTATCATAGTATTAGGTAATATTTTGATTTAAATTTATTTATTATATCAAGTTTTCATGTCACTCTACTACCCATGTAAGATGTTTACATGTACTATACCATTGACATGATATCTTTTATTACAACATTGTATTTTTAAAATTATTTTATTATAGCATCATTAGTTCTTATTACAAACATTGTGTTTTAGTTTTAATATTTTATTATTTACACATTGTACATGTAATTAAATATGTTTACCTGAATTTAATATTTGTTTCTAATTGTAAATTTTAATCAGAAATTTAGTCTCGCAAAATCGAGATTATAGCAATGGGTATCATTTTGATTTGAATTAATATAATATGACATAACAAGTTTTCATGTCATGTCATGTCATTGTACGCATATGATGTTTATGTGTAAAATTTTGCTGACATGACATTTCTTGTTACAACATTATACTTTTAAAAAATGATTTTCGATATTATTTTTAATAAATAAACTATATGAATCAGAAAGTTTCTAGATTATTTATTAATATGTCATATTAAGAAAACTAGTAGAAAATAATTTATCTCGCTAACATTTTTAATAATATGTATTTTTTGAAAAAAGAAAATAATAATTGTTACATTTTTTACAAAAAGAATTATCCTTTAACAAATATATCATATTTGTTTAAAAAAAATTACTTGACGTATAAATATATTAAATTAATTAGATTTTTTTTAATTATTCGTTGATATAACAGTATAAAAAATAACTTGTATAACACAATTTATCTCTCTAACATTTTTGAAAAACTTTAAAGATATGTATTTTTATCATCAAAATAAAGGAAGAAGTATTACATATTTTTACAAACAAAATAGTCATCTCGAAAACATATAATTTGCATGCAAATTAATAAGAAAAAGTACAAAAAAATTGAAATTTTTTTTTTTAAATCATATCAATGAAAAGCGAAAATCATCAAAATAATTTGAGATAGGTATATATATATTTTTTATTCATGTTATCAAAATGATATATCATCCATATCACCTCACTTAAGTCAATAAAGCAAAAAAAAAAAAAACAAGGCATTAACCAGTTTAAAAGATAACATGTTACTTATTGTTAAAATGGGTAAATTTTTCAAAGTACATTTGTCCTAATAAAAAATAATTTGAAAGTACATTTTTGTAATAAAAAAAATGAAATAACAATATTATAATAAGAAAATATATGAAAGTGTGTTATTATTTTATGCAATTAACCCTACTGAATATATGATAACTGGGTTCCGATTATAGAAATTTAGGTAATTATTTGGTTAAGTGATTATTTGTTTATATTAAATCCATGATGCATGTATATGTGTATATGCATGTATGTTTATATGCATTGGTATGTGAGTGTAAAAAGGGGGGGGGGTTATATTAATAAACTCCCACCGCCTAATTTTGGGAAGTATTTTTAAAGTTGAAATTTTGAAGAAGGCAATCTGAGTTGCCATTTTTAGAAAGAAAAGGAGTTTCTGTTTTCTCTCTTTTATGCTAAGGTTGTGAAGTTATTATGTGTGTGTTTGGAAGCTGATTTATGGGTTGTTGTATTCATCTTCAATCTTGCATATAAGGTGAGTTTTTTTTTAAATATTTGCATCTGAATCTGATGTTTTTGGTCATATTTTGTTCTGCATAATGTTAGTTAGAATCAGATTTTGTTGTACGTATATATTTTGTTCAAATGCATTGTCCGATAAGGACTCTTATCGAACATTGTGTTGTCTGATGAGGGACCCTCATCGCACAAGCTTTGACCGATGAGGATATTTATGTTTTTATGTATTGTCCGGTAAGGACCTTTATTGGTGTAACACCCAGATTTTTATATAAAAGGAAGGTTTTTATAAGGTATGCGTCTCATTTACTTATTCTGTATTTATATTTTTTTATATATATAAATATATGTAAATCCTCATTTGTGAAATATTTAGGAGTATATGTATAATTACTTATATGGTTAATTTATATAAAGTCCATTGAGAGAGGAAGGTTCTTTGAATTCTAGGGAGTGTTGAGTTAATAAAGAGAGGGGGGTGGGTACCTGCAGCTTTTGACCTACTCTTATGTCTCATCCCCTTTTCTCTTAAGGTATCCCCTTTTTCATGAAGGATCTTGACTTTCATGTAAACCTAAGAGTACTTGGGAAAAGGGAGAATACTTGGGAAAGAGAGAGTACTTGGGTAAAGAAAAAGGAAAGGAAAGGAGAAAGGGAGGCATTCTTTGGCTGGAAGGAATAAGATAATCAAAACAGCCCCTGTGGAACCGGCTGTGTGAAGAGGGAACCAAAACAGCCCCTATGCAGTCGACTGTGGAAGAGGAAGAAACAGCCCCGGTGTAGTTGGCTGTATAGAGAGGAAGATTCAGCTCTGTCCCGACCTTCTTGCGAGAGCCACTGCCCGCCTAAGCTATCTCCAGCCCCGCCTGCCTGTTTTCTTCGTTTCCGGCAGTCCAAACAGCAACAGCAGCGCCTGGTGCCTGTTTTCTTCGTTTTCTGACTGTCCAAACAGCAACAGTAGCGCCTGCTGCCTGTTTTCTTCGTTTTCGGCAGTCCAAACAACAACAGCAGGAAGGAGGAGAGCTGCGGTGTCCTTTTCGAACAGCAAGCAGCAGCTCTGCTACAATCATCTTCGCCATCTCAACCAAATAGCAGCAACAGTAGCTGATGTATCGAGCTGGTTGTGTTGCCCATCCTTCAAGGTGAGTTCATTATATCCCTCTATAAAGTTACATACATGTTAATGTGAATTTAATAATTTAGCCTATGGTTCAACTCTGTGTTTAGACCTGATTGTGATGGAAGAGTTTATTCTAGGTCTAAACGGATTGAACTTTGGAAAATGGTTACGACCGCTTGGCAAATGCTTAATTTAAGGTACTTTATACTAGGGGACTCTAGTACTCTTATGTCATATAACCGGTGATCTTTAATGGTAGTAGAGGAACACTTCCTTAATGATGGACTCACGCATTATCTTGATGTTGAAATAATGTTATATATGCCCAACGTTAGTTATCCAATAATGTGAACAGAATGTGGTGAATCTATGGATTCGAGTTGTTTTTTTTATTTACTTTGTGTCCGTCATAATAAACGGTAAATCGGGTCTCCCCGTCATCCTCGGATGTTTTGGCTCCTCCGTGAGATATTTTTAATTAGCTGTTTTTCTTATAGTGTTTAAACTTACGTCATCTATATATAAAGGTTTCATAGCTACCTTTATGTTAATAATTGAACTCACTAGGCGTAAGCTTGACACTTCTTCTTGATATGGCTTGTACATCAGGTTCCTTTAGCGGCGGGGCTCAAAAGGGTTGAGAGGAGCGTTGGTTCGTGAAAGGCTCTTTTGGAGTTATAGCCTTTGTTACTTTTGAGCGTTGCGTTTTTTATGTTGCGATATTTTTGGAGATTGATAAAAACACATGTCTTTAATCTAGATATAGAATAATCCAGATTAGTAGGTTGTTATTTATCTTCTTAGTAGTTGATTGTAAACGTTATACTATTACCTTTTGTTGGGTGAATTTTAATTCTAGATTCTGGTTCTCGTTAAATATTTTCGGTTTAAATTATCTTTTTTTAGGGTGTTATAAGTTGGTATCAGAGCACTAGTTTAAGCGAACTAGGTAAGGGATCATGACGCCTAGACTTAAGCTGAGATTGTAAGTGTTAACTGTGAGATGTGGGTAGAAACTTTTAAGATAGGAGAGCACTAGGGTCATCAGAGCTACCCCGTTCATGAATTGTGACGATGGTGTTAAGATTTCTTATGTATAACCTATTCAAAATTTCACTTAGCTAATGCTATTTTGAGTAAGTTATTACACAAGTGTGCTTGAACTTACTGTTATTACAAGAATTTATGAACGTATCGGTATGTATTATGTTAATCCAGTGTTCGTCCTATCATAACTCTCTTTCACTCTCTTGTATGACAGTCTTTAATGGTGAATAATCGGAGTAGACGGGATACCTCTCCGGAAGGTCATGCGGTAACTGAATCTACGGCGGATCAACCGCCACGAACCACCATCGCAAGAGTTCATCCTAGACAAAACACCTTGGATGGTGGAGTTGACCATGTTCCCCAAGTCGACCTTGCCACCTCTAATCCCGTGATGGAAGAAGAAACCCCGGAATCAAGAATGATGGGAACAATGATGAACGCTATGAACAGAGCTATGGCCCAACAACAAGAGTTCTTTATGAAGTTGCTGGAGGATAGGGACACTAACAATCGTAAGCATGAAGCGGTTGCCGAGAACGTAACTATTGTGAGATCTGGGGGTACCGGAAATAGAATCCCAACCCAGGAGTTAGCAACGATTGAGGCAAGACAAGTGAGTAAGGTTTGCTCCTACAAGACGTTTTTGAGTTGCAAGCCGCCAGAATTTGTAGGGTCAGATGATCCCGTAGCGTGCATGAACTGGCTTCGAGAGATCGAACAAGCCTTCTAGGCTTGTGACTGTGATGAGGGTCAAAAGGCAAAATTTGGCTCTCAAATGCTAAGAGGTGCAGCCCTTACCTGGTGGAACATCGTCATATCAACCATAGAGGTTGCAGATTTGGCCAAGATGAGTTGGGCCACGTTTAAGGAGAAGGTGTTGGAGGAATTTTGCAACGAACAAGAGATGGACCGCATTGAAGAAGAATTCCGAACCCTCAAGAAAGGAAATTTGTCGGTGAGGGACTACACGTGACTTTTTTATGGAAAAGTTGAACTTAGTGGGGCACGTGGCCCCAACGGAGAAGGAAAGAATAAAGGCCTACCTCAAGGGGTTGCCTGCGGACATGATGGTTATGGTTAGA